CTATTGGAACTAAAACATCATTTACTCTAAAAAGAGATTGAGCAAAGAAACTAGAAACACTGAATGGCATAGGTTGGAGGGAACCTTAAAGATTCCATATATAGTTCCAACCCCCCTGCCATGGGCAGGGCTGCCAACCACAGAGTAATAGAATGTACTTGTAAACTCACGGAGAAACATTGGAGCAGCTCCTCTACCCTGATTTGAGTTCAAGTGGTAGGAAGTGAGCTTCAGCAGATGAAGCCACAGCAAAGTAAAAGCAGCAGCTCAAGTGACCGGATCCCAGCAGGAGAACCTGGGGAAGCAGCACCAGGCTTAGCTCTTGAGGTGCCCAAGTGGCACCAGCTGAACTCTTTGTCCCTTCTGCCTTGGCTCTGCCTCCCTGTCACTGCTGATTTCCAGCATTTTCAGCGGGCTCCAAGAACAGGAAGGAAAGCTTCCCCCTGAACACTAAATATCAGCCAAAGCACAGACAAACCACAGGCTCACAGAATAAACTATTCTGAGTTCTGCGTATCTCCAAGGAGAGGGATACTCATCACAAAATTTTCAGCAGAGAGCTCTCGGAAGCCTGAACAACCACAGCCCATCCCCTCCTACCTGGATAACTAATCATTCAACTCAAGATCCTGCTCTCACTCATCACCAAGGCACTATGATTTAACAGTTTTGTCAAGTTCTTGCTGGAAAGATACCACAACAGCCTTCCTAATGGCAGAGTGACAATTGCTACAAGTCCTGCAAAGTGTGGGATGCCAAGCAGGCATTACTAAAGCAGCAAGATTTGTCCTGTAAATCTTATCCCAAAAGAAAATGGCAAACTACTCAAAAGGACTTGCAGTGCTATTCTTGATTTATCTCACACAGAATGAAATGCATGCAGCCAGAGTACCCTAACAGAGTCCCATTTTGGATTGGGAAGCCCTTGGCATTCCTCACTGATACCCTTTGCTTTATTGTATTGCACCGCCAAAACAGAATAGAGTAAGTGAAACTCTTTTGCATATGAAATGCCCTGTGCTGAAGGATGCTCTCACTGGCTGGTGTGTTTGCTACATTGGAGCAATTCCTGCTCCACTCAGTAAAGCAGATAACACTATGCAAATGTTATTGTTACCACAGGTTAAAAAATTTCTAATATACGTAGGCTTAGAACAAGCACATTGGGTTTCTTGTTGTTGTTGTTGTTACATTCTTAATTTTCTTGCAATGTTTTTGCATACCTAAATTCCTCATTGCTTTTCCTAACAACACCCAGTGCTACTAACAACAGCCAAAGTCAAAGTCTGGAACGTAATTAAGATGTTAGGAGATTGCTTCATCTGGACACACAAACCTGAGCACCTGCTTATGGTGGCAGGTGCCAGAATGAATACACTCGGGCAGCCTGGAAGCCCGTCCGAGGGGCTGATTTCACACCCAGCCAAACAACCTTGTCATGTCAGAGCACTGAGGGCATCAGCCGTGCCTCCTGGAAGTGCTTGCTTCCCACAACTGACCATTTCTTTTATCCACACTGCGCTGCCAAACGCTACTCAGCTCAAAAAACAGAAAATAACTGGTTAGATCTGAATACCAGACAATTGTAGATAGATAGATAGCCCCTCCTACAGCCGTATGCTAACTTTCTACACTACAATCAGAGTGGGATTACCTTGGCATTGTCCAGCACTCTTCCCTTGTTGCTCACACGTGAAAATGATGAGAAACAGAGAAGGCTGTGGGCAGAAATGTGCCATGGCTTATTTTTTCAATAGTTAATTACCTTCTCTCCTGTTAAACTGGATGGCAACAACAGGTGTTCTGATGCTTGGATAATTTCAGTTTCCATACAACAATCCTTCAAGCTCTCATTATTATTATCATTCGCACCACGAAAAGGACTTATTTCCAACTCATGCACCACCTAGTTATCTGTGTGCAGGAATAAAAGACAGCTGTGATGCAGAAGTCCTGAAAACACAGTGACATTTCCCAAATCACACAATCTTTTCTCTTTTCTCTCTTTCCCCCCCCCCCCCCCCCCCCCCCCCCCCTCTTTTTTGAGATTCTGATTTCAGATACAAACCGAAAATACCAACAAGCATAAACATTGATTATTTGCAGATCACACCTAAAGCCTCATCTCAGTCGGTGATCTCTGATCCTTCTTGAGGAAAACAAACTGCCACAGAGGAAATACTTGTCTCAAGGCGACATTAAAACAGGTTAAGGTGGAGGAAATAACACTGTTTGCAAAGATGGTAACAAAAGATAGAGTCAACTAAAGACCTTCTGACCTAAACAAAGAGGTATCATTAGGCTAAAAGGTTCCCTCTTCTCAAACACGTTTTTTGAAGAAAGGCTCATGTCAAAAGTTAATTATAATGGAAAAGAATACAGGAATGATCATAAAAAAACTACAATGATGCCCCAAAAGCTGTAGCTACCTCTGGAGGCTCAGAGGTTCCAAATACATAAAAAGATCAAAGAACTCATGTTCCACTTTGCTAGATCAGAAGATGATGAGATAACTACCTCTTTTCAAAAAATAAAGGGTTTTCTTTTTCTTCAAATCTTCCCAACACATTCTTCTAAACTGTCTGTAAAGCAGGAAAACAGAAAGGAAATAATTGAAAATTTACAAAGAATGAGAACAAGCCATTTGGACAAAATTGTTACGTGAAGATAGAAGGAGCTATCAAAAGTAACAACCAAAGACTTTGACAACGTCTGTAGAGACTGAAAAATTGAAGAAACAGGCCGATTTTGTAACAGCAGCAACAAGAACGCCACTGAAACTGCATGAGCACATGAGCAGTGCTCCAGAAAGCTGACACTTCAGCTGTCAGCATGACACTGGAGAAAAACAGCAATTATAAAGCAAATTAAACTACAAAGAAAATGGGAAAAGAAAAAAAACGAAACAATGTGGCTTCCCATACTGCCTGCATTTTTTGCTGCTAAAGCTTTTTATGCAGGTGAGATGCAAAGCTAAATGCACTACTCCAAGCCCTTGTCTTCATTTCATCAAATATTAATGCCATCACTTTACAAGTCCTTCTCCCTCATACAAGCTTTAAAACCACTTTAAAAAGCTCTTTAGAAGCAAAAGACCAATTTCTCTCATGATCTGATATTTTTGTCCAGTTGTACAACATCTTTTACTGATTTAATCACAAGTATACAGGGTGGAATGGAAGCTTCTTTGTTTACAAAAATCATTTGCAAGCCACAGCTCCATTAGCCTGTTCTTTGTATTCCTCATCAACTTTCATAGACAGGTCAAGGGAGAATGGTTTTAAACTAAGACAGGGGAGGTTTAGGTTAGATATTAGGAGGAAGTTTTTCACACAGGGGGTGGTGACACACTGGAACAGGCTGGCCAAGGAGGCTGTGGATGCCCCATCCCTGGAGGCATTCAAGGCCAGGCTGGATGTGGCTCTGGGCAGCCTGGTCTGCTGGTTGGCGACCCTGCACATAGCAGGGGGTTGGAACTGGATGAGCATTGTGGTCCTTTTCAACCCAGGCCATTCTATGATTCTATGATCTGAAGTTGGAAGGGATCCACAAGGATCACTGAGCCCAACCCCCAGCCCCACACAGCAGCCGCAACCCCAGTGTCTGAGAGGTGTCCCAGCAGACCCTGAGCATCAGGGCCCTCAACACAGTCAACAGCTACACCCCATTTACTGTCATCCATGAACTTAGTCTGCACTGAAATAACTTATAATAACTGAAATAACTCATTTATGAAAAATGACTATTTTTTCTCCACAACAATGACAACAAAATGTGTTCACAGCAGCATTCTGCTCTGCAACCAACCTTGAAAAAAAAACAACCACAACAACATGAAACAAAACATGGCTGCACACAGTATATAAGAAATTCACTTCATAGGTCTGGCAAGGAAATATTTGAGGACTGCAGCCTTTCAACCAGATCTTCAGGCCTCTGCAGCTCCACTTAACTACTTGTGAAGATCTCTCTGTGAACAAGAACCTACATCCTATGAGCTTGGAAGCCAACAAGCTCCTGCTCCTCAACTTAGCAAAAGTTATCTACTTTTTTCCCCAGGCTCTACGGAAATACAGAAAAAACAAACCCAGGGCTGGATATAAGAATCTTGCTAAGTTAAAGAAATTTATTTCTTTGGGCTTTAGAGCTCCAGTGGAAAGATAAAGCAGCAAACTGGTACATTACAAAACTGCAAGCTTTATCTCAGCCCAGTACATGTTTCTCATTCTCATATATAGAATGCTTCACGTGGGCAACAAATGGAAAGTTCTGCAATAGTTTTTAAAAGCTTACTGATGAAATTGGGAACATTTTGTCTGGATGTCTGGAGCAACACATCCAGCATCCTGGATTTTTGTTCGTTTTTACTTAGTTCAGTTCCTCACTTTGTCTGCAACAACTGCAAAAAACCTGAAGTAATCAACCGAGTTTTACACAGTTCGTTTTTTTTTTTCCTCACATAGCTGCTTTAGGACTTAACCCACAGGCTCTCGCAGAGCCAGGAGAATGCCAGGAGCTATGTAGCACCAGCAGGGCTTTAGGGCTGCCTAAAGCAGCAGCACACAGAGGAAAAGCATTGCTTTTAAAAGGAACAAGGCAGGTAGGTCCGACGTGTGGCCCACAAGCTGCCTATCCTGCAGACACCTCCCTTCCCGCCATCATGGCGGCGCGGCCTGGCCTGGCCCTGAGCAAGCGCCCCGCGCTCCCCACAGCCACACAGCGGTGTGCGATGGGCTCTGCCTGGGCTGAAACCCGGGCACGGGGAGGGCACAGTGCAGTGCTGACTGAAGTTAGGGCAAATATGAAGCACACAAAGAGTAAAATGTCATCAAAAATCTGTCGAACACCACAGAGCTCATTGAGAATTGCAGCCGCTGCCATCGACCCAGCCTGATGTGTCAGTGTCACAAAGACAGGTCGCACATTGCACTGGTTTTATGCTTTTGTTACTCCTTTATTTTTTATGTTTAAATAAAAATATTAAACATTAAAAGAAGTTTTGTTACCTATGTACATTGTATTTTTTTGGTGCTTGACTACAGATGAAAAATTGTTATGGGGTCAAGCAAGGATATGAACCAAATGGTCTGATGACTCAAATGGAGGCATAGCTTTAGGGAGGAGGGCAAGAACAATGGCCCCAGTTCAGCAAAGTACAAATAATCATTTCCTTTAACGTATAAATAGTCCCAAAACAAAAGTTAAGCTTTAGCTTAAGGACTTTGCTGACATGAAGCCCACAAGCACAAATACAGAGGAACTCTGAAAAACGACCAGCCCCAGAGATGACTCTTTCACAAGAGTCAATATTATGAAAGTAAAATTAATGGAAAATTCTATAGCCTGAGGAAAATTTTACAGGGATGCAGTTTGGACATCTTGAAAACAGCCAATAATTTCAACGTGCTTCTCAGCTTCTATTGAAAACTTCTGAAGAGACATAGCCTGACTTAAAGATCACAGGTGATGATATTATTAAAAGATGCCTCTTAGTCTCACCTTAGGTTGTGATCATTTATTACACTCTGGATCACACTGAAGAATATATAAGAAGGTGGGAAAAGCTGGTGGGGCCTGGGGCTGCGGTCCTAATTGCATGCTTACACTTGCATTTCTCTATCTTTTAACTTGGTGACATTTTAAATTGAGTGATTAATCAGCCTTTACTTTGTTATTTGCAATCTACACATTAAAAGCTACAGGCCAGATAAACTAGCCAACACAAATTAGCCACCTTATTGGCAGATTTATACCACCAGAGCATCTGGTCCTCCCTGAATTAATTTGTACTGTAGACAGGAACCAAGCACAAGTCTTCCTTTAAATCCTTGTGAAAAATAGAAATATTCATACTTTTCACTCAACTCTCTGTCCAACTGTGATTTTCTCCAGTAGGTTCTCCAAATCCAAACTGATACCAGGCACATGACTTGCCTCTGGGAGCCCTGCACACTCAGCCCTTCTTGTAAATGAGCATTTGCATTGTGGCCTGACAGTTTCACTTGTCAGGTGCTGCACTGGTTGCTGAGGGAAAATGCTTGGCAACACCAATGGTTTTTCAGGTAGAAAATCTGCAGAAAGTGCTTTTGCACAGCAGATAAAGCAGCCTGCTATTTCTTGCTCTGCCAAGTTGGTCCCTTCACAGAGGTGGGACTCAGGAAATGGTCTACAAACAACTATGTAAAATTCATTTAAAAAGCTATTTCTGATAATTCTTTATCTTGTGGCTGTGTAGTGAGGGAGAAGTAGGCCAAGACAGGAGAGACCGAAAAGACTTTCTGGTACTGAAGCATGATTTAGGGTCAAAGTTCCCCTGCCAGAATGAAATAGCAATGTAACACCCAATTTCCACCTCTGGGAAGCACTCATACATGCCACCACGGTAAATACTGACAAGTGAAAATAGCAATCTTCCATTAATGTTTGCAGCAACATCAAACAATGTTATTCCACTTGCATTGGAACCCAGCAAGTTCCCAGACTTGTCCTTCTCCTTCAGGAAGCGTCAGCAAAGCTGAATGGCACAGTGAAGAAAGAAGTAAGTAAGCTATGGAGTGGAAATGAAAACATGGCTTCCTAGTCCGGGGAGGCAATACATACACAGAAAGGTCCTGAGAGAGAATGGAGGGCAGTAGAAGTATGGGCCATGGGAAAGATGACAAGGCTAGTTCTCTGTTAGTGATGGTGCACAGTTGAAAAGATTGTTCCAGTGTGGAACTGCACAAGGAAGACTGGGAACAGCTGGGATAAGGGATGTAAAAACCAGCTTGGGAATCAACAGGTTTGACTGAATGTTTTGCTTTTAAAAACCTGGCTCCTAATTCAAGGTGCCAAGAGACAGGTATTTTAACAGCATTTGGGTAGAGTTACACATATCAAAAGACATTTAAGCCTACCCTGGTATCACTCTGACGAGAGGCGGCTTTGAAACTTTACCTTCACATCTGTTTTCACTGAAGAAAAACAAAATAATCATAATACTTTCAAATTTTAAGTGATCCATTTTAGTCAGTTTCTTTCTATTTTCTTTTTTTCCTAAATTTGAAATGCTTACCATAGCAGGCTGGTATTAGTAGTGGAAAATGGTCTTTATTTATCATACTAAACATAAAGCATTACTGTTTTTGTAATTTAGGTCATGAAATGAAAGTGTTACAGTGTTGTTGCTTCAGGTTTTAATAATCATTGTCCACAACAACAAATAGTTTGATTACCAGGACCTACCAATAGTCAGTGATGGCAACTCACAAATAATGCTTCATACTCCTAAACTTACCTTCCAGGATGCATTTTAATAATAACCGAAAGCTGTTTAATTCTGCTTTTTTACAACCAATTATACATTAACATGTACATATACAGTTCCAGTCACAGTGTATACATATTTTTGGATCTGCAGCAGTATGAGTTCTAACTGTATATACATGTGCAAGTTTGAATATGTCCTGAGTAATTTTAAAGTACTATTAGTAAAATCTCGTAAATTTTAACTGATGCAAATAAAGTTCAGGTTTTACAGTGCTATGTTATTATGAAGAAGCTGTTTTCCAAAACAGAAATATAGCACTCTGAGTTAGCTTTATGCATAGCTCTGAGCTCTGTACACTGCACAGTATCCGCTTACAGTCTAGGTAATTAGAAAACGTGAAAAGATGCCGACTGCATTCTTCAGTAACTATTGCTTCCTTTACTGCTTAATTAACAGCAAGTGATTCGTTCTGCTTCAAAATACCCAAGTGTGGAAGACTTTTAAAGGTTTTAAATTATATTCTTTCTGCTGTATGTGTTTTGTAAACATTCAAGTCACTCAGGCTCTTTGAATCTTCTGAGAAAAACTAAATCACACAGACAAACACTTAAAATATACGTTCTGGGAGAAAAAAAAAGAAACAACAGTGGAGTATAAGCATTACCTTAAATACCACAATATGCTGTAAGAAATCAAAACAGGAAATGTTCCTTAAGGAGCAGCTTGGGCAGAAACTGAAAGGCTGCTCAGAAACTACTCTCTGTCAGTATGACACGCCAACACAGCGAACACGAGATGATCTCACAAGACCGTAACAAATTGTCTGAGCAAACACGAAGAAGTGCTCCCACTGAGGAGTGGATCCAAACCCAGCATGAGTGTCAGAGCTTTTGTACAGTATTAACAGCGCAACTCACAAGCATTGTCTGTGTACTTCATGCCAGGAAAACGCAGGCACTAATATGAGAAGTGGGAAAGAACTAAAGCTAGCATCAAGGCGTAGCAGTCTTAGGTAGAGTTGGTTTGATGCAGCTTTTCAGGCATGAAAGAAGATATGCTTTCTTCCTCTCCTTCATTTCTCTCACACCCCAGAAGTGAAGGCACCACTGACTGTGCTCCTCTGACACGAGGGCTCTGGCACAGAAATTAGCTGGTCCCGTGACTGCTATAGTCAAAAACTCCTTTCCTGAAGAACGGTGAGAACTCACAGATGGTGTGTTTTGACAGAGTTGACCCCACTTTATCAATGTGCAGCGGAGATGATGGAGATTGCAGCATTGCAGTGAAAAAGCTCCTGAGGTATGTCTGTGGAACAAAATGCAACATGTCATAAGGTTTTCTTGATCAAGTCAAATTGATTACAAACGCTTGGAAGAATTAAACAAACAGCAGTACCAAAAACCCCACACAATAACATCTCTGTGGATTGAGTTCTTTTAGTAACCATCAGCATTTAAATCAGTCGTAAAGCACATCTCCTGAAACGTCCATGTTAAGATGAGGAAAAGTAGAAAAGAAATATTTCCCATTTTCTTTCCCTGCCAAGCTTGTTAACTGCTTTATTCTGCACTAGTGTAATGCTTCTGCTAATCATGCCCTGCTAATACTGCTGTCTAGCATTACAAAACACTGCAGCAGGTGCAGACCTCAAATCTATTCTGCAGGAATTTCACTACATATGGACACAAAAGGACTTTAGAAATCTTCCTCATCAAGCCTTTATGAACCTCGTGTGGAAAAGGATTTGTTTTGATCAAGGCCATCTGCACAAATATTGTATGACTCCCATAGCATCTCAGAACATAAGAGCATCTTTTCACTGAGTTGCCCTCTGAACATTTTTTATTTTTAAAAAAGTCTGACACGTAAGAAGCATTCCCCTTCCTAAAAGTTAATATTCACCAACTGCTGTGTGACTTGCATCCATTTATATCCACAGAAATTGTGACAGATGTATATTAATACAAAGTTAGCTTTCAGAAACCTGATGGGGTTTCCTTCGCATATGGGTTGAATTATTACAATCATTTAGCATAGTTTAATAAGCCATAGTTATAAATTCTGAACGGTCACCGTAGGTAAGATGTTGATCGGGCAGGTGATAAAACATTACCAAATGTCACCCAAATAGCTGCAAGGGAAATCTCATCTTGAACACCTTTGCTTTGTACAGACTGACTACAGAAAAAGGTAATTTGAGAAGTTATTCACTAATCTGGGATGCAGTGGGAAATATGTCTACAAGACAGAACAGCACAATAACCTACAAAAACCACAAGGTTTAGTCATCTGAATGCAGCAACTTCTGGGTTATGAAAGAGGACCGTTCAGGAAGCAGTCCTAGTTATTTACTTCTCAAGGAGAATTTCTCCATAATATAACAGCCTGTTATATATTTAAAGTACCTTGGAAACCAGCTACATTAATATCACAGAATGCAGGATAACAACAACAAAAAGTAGTAGCTGGCACGTAAGGTATTCTCTTGGCAGGACTGGTGGATTTTCTTTTTTATTCAGATCTCCCACAGGTTGTATTAGTGCTCATGAAAAATATTCATTACAAAAATACCTTCAAGATGAATTCCAACGGCCTAAGAGGTAATTTAAAGTGAGCAACAGATGTCATATCAGCATTTGTCATAATTAGTTCCCAAAGTAGGGCCCTTTAAAGCAGTCCCAGTCCAGTAATGCCTGAAGGATGAGTGTGGTGGAAAATCAAATGTAAAACATAGCATACCATTAGAGTTTTAGCACTGTGCTGAAAAGTTACTGCAGTAATTTCAGTTTATGGCTACTGAAGGCTCAAAGGTACCAAAATTTCTCACTGGAGACATTATAAGACCTATTGCCTTCACCTCAGTATGTATGGCCAGATAATTGAGTGTCATGCCTTTGCTGTAGAGCCATTATTCATTGTTTTGGCACAAGAGCTCTAACGGAAGAGCCATAAATAAATAAATAAAATCCCTCTGCTATAAGCGTACACTTATCTGACAGGGAAACACTAGGAACAGCAGGTATACTTATTTTCCCAGATCTGCACGCAGGAGTTGCTCTGTGAATATCACAGATTCTTTGAACATGAAGAAGATACTTGGGAAAATGACAACAAGCAGACTATACCAGATTATGATGGAATTCATTTTCTGTGAAGGTTTCCAGCCATATGGCTTGGCATTATGTGCACTTCAACAACCATTTCTGAACAAATTAGCCCTCTTTTAAATCCCATATCTGCATTTGCCCTTGTTTGCAATGCTGATATGTTAGCACAGCACAGAGCTGATGTGCCCTTGACACAAAGAAGCTGTTGCTTCAGTGCAATTAAGGCTGCTCTGCCCAGATACGCTGATTAGGAGTTAATTCCCGTAGATGGAAAACAGAGCTCACACAATTAGTGTGTATGCCCCTATTAAAGGGCTGTGGAGAGGCAGTGAGGGGGAGCTCTGTCCTGTCTGCTAGAGTGTGGCCAAAGTTGAAAAATGTGGTAGGAGAAAATAAAGAGAGCTCCTTATCGGTGCATGGAAACAAGCTTCCCTAATTCAGATAGAATAGGCAGAGAATGAAGGTGACAGCAGGCAGAGAGAGTAGCAGGGGCACATCAACAAGAAGCATGGAGAGAAAACATTGCTGGAGATGTGGAAGGGACTCAACATGGACTTTGTGGCAGCCCAGGAGGCCACTGGAAGTGGCACAAGGCTAGATGAGATTTCCTCCTCTGCTGGGACCCAGTGAGCAGGGGGAGAGTTGTTTTCAGAGCTTTCATATTAAATTCACTTCCAGCAGCAGGTATGATTTTTCTCTGTTTACAGAGCAATGCTGTTGTTTGTGCTGAGTTAAAACTGAGTGAGAAGCACACTGGTATCTTTTGATGTGCTCTCTTCAAAAAACAAAAAGTCTTTGATGCTGGCAAGCGCAGGGTGTCAATGTAGGAACACGTACAGATTTTATATAAATTAATGCTGTGACATCCTACCAGCACTTCACAAATAACATCTAAATCATTTTTCATTGTATAAAAAGCTCTATTTTATAGCAACTCCACTTTTGCTAGGCTGGCATGATTAACTTTTAAAGAAAAAGCTACATAAGTGCTGCAAATACTCTACATGTTGTGTCTTACTCATTTTTGCTTGTTAGACTTTCAGGCCTACAGTCATTTGTTCTATGTTTAGTCTGGTAATCAGTATTCTTCAAAATGTGCTTAGGAGTTTCACTTGCTACGTTGTTGGTTTACCAGAAAACATCCTAATTGCAAACCTGTAAATGTCTCAATGCGGGGTTACAGCACCCCAGCAGTATAGCAAGAGCATAAAATGGGTAACTTGTAAACAGTCTATACTGCTTACTCAGCCTAAACATACATCCAGGAACAGCAGTTTACGAAATGGAAAGACTCTTGGCGAGATTTGTAAAGATAGAAAGCCAGCTTTAAAAAAAAAAAAAAAAAAAAAAAGTCAAAATAGGAAAAGCAGCATTTTTCCTCTCTTGGCACGCATTATAATCTTAACAGACTTTATCTTTAAATTTGTGCTACCACACTTGCAAGCTTTCATCTTGGATTCCAAGCATTAGAAAGTGAAGCAAGACAGGAGAAAGTCAGGAGAGGCCCAGTTTTCTTTTCTCTTACTGGTTTGAGTAGCTTTCCCTCCAGTTTAATTATGCTAAAGGCAAAATGGTAACCATTTTGAAAGCTTATTAAAAATTATTATTTTAATAAGGTTCGCTTCTTTATCAGTAGACCAGCGTTCATCTCAGCCTTGATCCATCAGCACAGCAAAGTCATTCTAATGATTTCTGCACTCCATCATGATGTAGGGACCTCATAATTTTATATATTTTAACATAAATCCATAACTTAATTTAAAGTTATTAAAGTTATTACAATCAAAAAGCTTTCTTGCAAGTGAAAGCGTTCTTATCATCCTTTCAGTTGTGCCATATTAAAGGAGAATTCAGTTCAATGACATTGTTCTCATAATCCATTACAAACAGCGACAGCCTCAGAGACCAATAGCAGAGCTTAGGAAGAATTGGATTTTTCATTAAACTTTGGTCGGTTTCAAATCTCATCAACTCCGGTACTTCCAGAAAGTGAAAGGAATTTGGAACAATCTCCCCTGCTTCTGTTTCTAGTGATTTCCTCCAAAAAGAACCCCCCCCAAAAAACAGTTTTAAATTCTTTCAATATAATACTTGGCAATTAGCATACTAAATACCGCCCACTGATATCTGACAGAGCTGAAAGCACCACAAATTTTCATTAGATAAGACTCACCAAGCTTTGGGGATTTCTGAAACAATAGCTCTTTTTTCCCCCCTTTCTTTCAACACCCACACATCCACCTGACAGTGAAAAATCTCTGCCCCAAGGTCACAGAAGGTCATCAGAGGCAGAGGCAGGAATAATTAACTTGCTCATCTAACTTTTAGCATCGGCTCTTCTCTCCCTTTAATATAGATGCTAGCTTCCCTTGGCATCAATCACATAATTATTCTGTTGACTAGTGTTAAGTGCTGCAAGCTTTAAATCAAATCTTGATTTGAATTATTCATAGAGCAAAGCATATGCAGGTATCAGCAGCTGTTTTCTATAGGAAAGATATCTGATTACAAAAAAAAAAAGTCTGAAGCACATCCCTGACTCTGGAAATCTGCATTATGCTACAATTATCGCACCTATTTCAGAGAGAACATTCACAAAGTCAGCTATTCCTGAGGAAGAATCTGTCCCAGAACGAGGAACATGCTTAGCTGCCAATCTGCCATCACAAAAGTAAGGATCCGCTCAGAAGGCAAAGCCTGCTGCAGGAGCCCCTCGTTACTGCAGAAATCAGCCATCTCCTGCCTTTGTCTCCTAGAAAGAAACTGTCAGCCATATGCAAAGGAAAATGAACATTTCGGGGCCCTCTCCCAAATTAAGCAACTTTCTATTTTAGACCATTCACTGGTGTCTGGATGAGGAGAGAAACAAAGACTTCAAGGGAGGTTTTTCAAATACGAAGCGCTAGAGAAATGCCAGCCATCATTGCTAACAACAACCTCTACTGACAGAAAAAAAGCCTGGCTTAAACGACTCTGACAGGAGATGGTGTCTCGTGGCAACTTCAGGTTGGCAGAGGGCCCTGTCTGGGGTGATGCTATATACAGAATCCAAAGAGATCTTATGTCTGCCCAACAAAAATAGGATTCAAACTCCTAATTGGATCTGCTTCTTTTGTGGCTTATTGGTTTTTTGTTGTTGTTTCTTTTTTTTTTAATTATTTTTTTTATTGTTTCCTTGCTGGCAAAAGTCAGAGGGAA